ACGCACTCCTCACGCCTGGCCGCCACCTCGCCATTCCACCAGTAGACTGGCGGTCCGCGAGTCGACGGCAGTCGTTTGACCGGAAGGGCGAAGTCGCAGGCTGCGGCCACCCTCCGGTCCAACTCTTCCGCCGCTTCATTCGCGGAGACGTGTCGGTCCGGTACCGCAGGCGCCGACCATTGAGAGAGCAGTAAGCCCGTCTCGAATGCGTCGACGTCCGTGGCCGGTCCGACCCGCCAGCCCACTCGCCAACCGCGAGACGTCTCGCGGGGGACGGCCGCCGTCGACGCACTCATACACGATGTACCATTGGTCGCTGAGGTTTTCCCTATGTGGGAGAACCGACCAACCGGACACGTGCGGGTGCAGCGTCGGGTCGCCCGACTCGATGTCCGCGACCGTTAGGCCGCGGTCCAACACGCCGATCGCCGCTCTGCCGGACCGGCCCAAGAACCTGCCGGCAGAGTCCCGGACCGATCCGGCGTACGGGTCCGAGACGATGCACACGACGGTGCCCATCTCGTACGCCACCCGCCGGACCAGGTCCTGGGCGGCCCGACAGTGGTTGAGATTCGTTTGAAGGAATCTCATCCACTAGCGGGCTACGTTCCGGGAGACCCCTCAGCCATTCTCCCCGTTTTCTTACACGGAGGGGCCTTTTTACCAGGCCCCCCCTTTGTCTTCGGGGCCTTTAGGACCGGCCCCACACCCGGACAATACTTGGCCTTTTTTTTTTTTTTTTTTTCCCGGTCGACATAATGCTGGACGCCCTGGAACTTCCGTGAGGTATTGCTTCAGGACGCCCAACGTCGCATTAAAACTCACAACACGACGTTGCCTCCCCCGTTAGCCGGATCCCAGAGTGGGATCCGTTGCCCAGGTCGCACCACGTGGAGGTGGGGGTAGGACTTAGCTAAGGGTGGGCATCTAAGAATTCACAAACACATAGAAACATACACAAACGGTGAGGAGGACGGAAGATACCCTAAGTAGGCCTCTCCTTTCCTCCCACCTTCTTGGGGCAATCCCTCGCCCTGTGGCCCGCTGCCCTGCACGTGAAACACGCGCCGGTCCGATCGACGCCGTTACAGGCCGTTTGCACGTGGCCCCTTTCGAGGCACCTGTAGCAGCGCGGTCCCTTATCCTGTGGGACCCGGATCCGGCACGTGCCCCATCCCACCCGGAGCCGTGTCAGTCCGACCAGCGGTTGCGAGGCCCTGATGGGGACCTCGCACCACGCGTAGCGGCCCTTACCACTACCTTGAAGTCGGACTGACACCGCACCGACCGACACACCAACCCCTTCTTTCGAGAGGAGAGTGGTTAACGCCCCTACGACGTCCTCTTCCACTATCCACTCTTCCACGTCTAACAGCATGAACGCCGCGGACATCACTGGGCGATGTACGCGGACGTCCATGCCGTCCAACGCCTCGCTGACCTTGGCGNCGCCTCGCTAACCTTGGCGGCCAGCAGGTCGACCTGGGCACCGGTACCCCGGACCTCCAGGAGCACCGCTCCCGTCTTGGTCCTGCAGGTACCGGAAACCACAACGCCCAGCGCCTGAAGATCGACACCTTCCATCACCCACTTGACCACGACCGAATATTTTTGGTCCTCTTTAAGAGGACCGATAACAACGGCCTCGGTCCGCGGGGCCTTCGCCTTTATGACGGGTCTCCGCGCTGAGACGGGAGGTTCGGGGTTTGGACGAGGTTTCGCCGACCGGTTAGGAGCCTTACGGTGGACCACATCCAACCACGTTCTGGGATGGCAGGCCTGGGACGCCCGCCGCAACCGCAGTCTGCGATTGTGGGGCGACACCCGCTTCACCATCGTTCCTGCCATTAGCCTTCTTACACCGGCGTTTCCGTACCCGTTTGGCCACCTTGGCGGTGGGTGGCAGGTCGCCGTCCGGTGCGCTCTCCCCAAGGGTATTCGACGCAGCGACTCCGGT